AAGCCTGACTTGTGCTGGCCCCTTGGCTAACTTCTGAACAGGGGACAGGGAAAATCTGTATTTGAGGAGTGTGTGCAAAGATGTGCCCATAGCTTGAACCAGGACCTGATCCAACCCAGGCAGTTCATCTTAGAGAAGGCCCATGTCCGTGAGGTGCTGTTTACCTCCTAGCAATTAAGATATGTAGGCATCCATGGTAGTAGCTGAGCAGACAGGGCAGCAGGGCTGTTTCCACAGGTGAACCATGAAACCAGTGACTGGCAGTTTTGCCATTCCTGCTCTGTGCACACTTTCCTTTTTCCAAAGCCAGCTGCTTTCCCTGCTTGGGTGGCTGACCTGGGAACCATTTCTACTCCTGAAACCCTCAGATGGCTGGGCACAGATGAGAACTCAAGCCTCATCCTGTGTTGACCCTGACACTGAGTACCTGCCTATGGGTCTCTCCTCCTGGAACCTGCATTGCACTTTGGGCCAGCCTTTCCCCACAGGGTGTTCTGTTCAGAGCACTGTGCTCTAGGGAGGACAGGACAACCCTCTAGATATGTTGGCACTTCTACTTGACAGGTACCAGCGGCTGCCACCACATGAACGGCCCATAGTTGGTGTTCATGAAGTCAGTTGTGGAAATTAGTTTCTCTCTGGGAGACTGCGTAAGCAGTAAAACTGTGGTTAGGACTAACCCTGATATCATTAGTAAAACCTCTTTAAATTACAGGTAGGTGAATGTGCCGGGCATGGTGGTACATGCCTTTAATCCTAGCACTTGAGAGGCAGAGGCAGACAGATCTCAGTGAGTTCCAGGACACCTGGGGCTACAGGGAGACCCTGTCTCAAAAAGACAAGCCCCCCAAAAAACAGGTGAATGTATATCCACTCCCAAGAGCAACTATTCAGAGGGACAAATGCTGCAAGATCCTGGAAGCAGGATCCTTACGGTCCCAGCTCTGGCCCTGAAGTGGCCTAGGGGATGACAGTACATTGGCCTGTCCTATGGCCTGTGGGGCTAAAGAGAATGAATGTTGCATGGCTATTCTTTCCATTTAGAATTTTTGAGGCAGGCTGTCCCTCTAAGGCCCTGGCTAGCTTGGAACTCACTATGTAGCCCAGGATGGCACTTAACTTATGGCCACCCTTCTGCCTCAGCCTCCCAAGTACTCCCAAGAAATATAATCTACCATGCCTGGCTTCTATTTCCTTTTCTTATTTTGAGATGGTCTCATGTTAGAGCCCAGGCTAACCTCAGTCTTGCTATGTAGTTGCAGATAACCTTGGTCTGATTCTCCTTTACCTCAGTTGCTGAGAAACCCAGCTTGGAGTGGGGGTGTGTGTGTGTGCTGGAATCGCTCAACAGTTAAGAACACTGACTGTTCTTGCAGTAGACTCAGGTTCAAGTCCTAGCACCCACATGGGAGCTAACAACGTCTGTAACTCTAGTTCCAGGGGACCAGTCTCTTCTCTCCGCCAGCATTGCACGACATGGGTGCACTTACCTACATGTAGGCAATACATGCATACACATAAAAATAAGAAATATTTTAAAAAGGAGGGCTGGAGAGATGGCTCAGCGGTTAAGAACACTGGGTTTGAATCCCAGCACCCACATGACAGCTAACAAATGTCCATAACTCCAGTCCCAGGGGATTGGACAGCCTCTTCTGACCTCTGCTGGCATTGCACGACATGGGTGCACTTAACCTACATGCAGGGAATACACACATACACATAAAAATATAAATAAGGAAAGCCAGGCGTGGTGGCGCATGCCTTTAATCCCAGCACTCGGGAGGCAGAGGCAGGCCTGGTCTACGTATGAGTTCCAGGACAGCTGGGGCTACAAGGAGATCCTGTCTCAAAAAAGACCAAAAAAAAAAAAAAAAAAAAAAAAAAAAAAAAAACCCAGCTCCAATGTTCTCATTCTGCTGAATCCCTCCTACCATATCAGTTGACGTTCAGAGGACAGGTGTTTGAAGACGTATGCTCTGTAGGGACAGCAGTTTGAAACAGTTCTCTGATGATGACACTAAGTTTTAAAATATTTTTATTTTATGTGCATAAGTGTATTGCCTGCATGTATGTCAGTGCATACATGTTGTGTAATGCCGCAGAGGTCAGAAGAGGACTTCGGATTCATAGCATGTGGGTGCTGGGAATTGAACCTGGGTCCTCTGCAAGAGCAGTCAGTACTCTCAACCGCTGAGCCATCTCTCCAGCCCTGAAACTGAGTTTTTTGTTTTTTGTTTGGGGGGGGGGGCGTCTTTTTGAGACAGTGTCTCCCTGTAGCCCCAGCTGCCCTGGAACTCACTACGTAGACCAGGCTGGCCTTGAACTCACAGAGATCCACCTGCCTCAGCCTCCTGAGTGCTGGGATTAAAGGCATGTGCCACCATACCCAGCACATTCATGCCTTTAAATGTGAATCTTGTGTGAGTCTTTTTCCTCGTCTTTACTCTCCATGGGAGACCCCTCAGAAGGCCAACAGGCAGGTGTAGGATACCCTAGTGGGGTGGGAATGGCACCTCATGTTGAGGAGAGAGGGAAGTTGGTTCCTGTTGACTGATTACACATAGGTGAAATCTCACCAGATCTGGCTATAGCATACCCTGCAGGCTGCAGGAATCTCTGGACATGCTTTTTTTAGACAGGGTCTCACTGTATAATCCTGGCTGGCTTGGAACTCTGTGAATCAGGCTGACCTCAAGCTCAGAGATCCACCTGCCTCTGCTTTTGAAAACCTCCTCCGTGCTGGAATTTAAAGGTGTATACCACCATGGCCAGCTAGCCTTTGGGAATCTCACTCCAGGGTCTGACTGACTAGAACCAAAAGGCCTAACCAACTCGAGCCCTGTGCCCCTGTCTTCCAGAAAGCTTTGCTGGGCAGCCCAAGGCTTGGCTAACAGCATCAGCCTCAGCCTTGTTCAGGGTAGGACAATTGGAATTGTCCAGCTAGCTGACTGCTCAGGGCTGTCAAGAAAAAGTGAGCCCTGTCTACTGTGTTAACCCATGTACCCCAGCCTGGCCTCTAGGCTTGTCAGGCTGGTGGTGGGAGTTGGTTAAAAGTGTCGTTTCAGGTAAGGAGCTGGTTTGCTTGATGGTTGCCAGCCTTTCTTTGCTAGCTGGCCCTTCACTGGTGTGGTCACTCAGAAGCAGGTTCTGTCCAGGCAGGGGGTGTATGTGTATGATAGAGATGCAATGGCCTTGCTAGCAAGGGCAGTCCTGTGGCCACAGTTATGGGATCACTTTGGGGGCCTGACTGGTTGTAGAGTATAAAGTGGGGTTTCCCACTGCCCCTAGTCCCCCATGTGGTTCAGGCCTCTAGGCTCATTTTCTCCAGTTTTTCCTTGGTGTCAGTGCTAAATCTAAGCTTCTGGGGCCTGGCTGGATTCCTACCCAAGAGGCCTGCCCACTGTCCTGGAAGTTACACCCGCCACAGGCCCCAGAGTGTGTTTTGTGTGTGTGTGTGTGTGTGTGTGTGTGTGTGTGTGTGTGTGTGTGTGTATGCGTGTATTGCCTGCATGTAGGTAAGTGTACCCGTGTCGTGCAATGCCCGAGGAGGACAAAAGAGGCTGTTGGATCCCCTGGAACTAGAGTTACAGACAGTTGTTAGCTGCCATGTGGGTACTGGGATTCAAACCTGGGTCTTCTGTAAGAACAGTCACTGTTCTTAACCGCTGAGCCATCTCTCCAGCTCCTTGGTCTTTCTTAAACTCAGTGTTTCCCTGGGACCTTTACACTGAGCTCTCAAGATTTCTTTAAGCCTAGATACGTCTCTTATATTAGGGAAGATGGGAAGGATACCATGCTTCAGGAAACATAGGCCCTAGCAGCTCATCATCAGGTGTCTTCAAGTTAAACTGCTTAGATGGTCACCCAAATGTATTCTAAAAGCTGCCTTTACTGTCCAGAAGGTAGGAGCTATAAGGTATATGAACTTATAAATTAGATGACATAGGGTTGGCAAGGTGGCTTAGTGGATAAGGACACCTTCAGCCACACCTGATCCTGAGTCTGATCCCTGGGACCTACGTGGTGGAAGGAAAGAACTTACTCTGAATAAACAATCTGTTTCTTTGAAACGGAAATCATGAGATGCTTGTTCCCAGCTGTCCAGGGCAGTGGAGACCTTAGAACATGGGTGCTCTGGGACTGTTTCTTGAGGATAGATAATAGATGAGACCCCAGAGTCGGTGGCTGTCCTGGTTTTTGCCAGGGCTGATGGGCCTGAGCATGGAGACCATCTGGATGGTCCCCTTTGGGCTCAGCTGGAAACAATGCTCTCTGTTGTCCCTGCTTTCAGGAACCGCAGCTTGTCCTTTCTGGATCATCATTGGGGGTTCCCAGGTCTTTCTGTTGCTGAGATTTAAGGAATTTAGTAGGCCTGGCATGGTGGCACTTGCCTTTAGTCCCAGCATTTGGAAGCTGAGGCAGGGAGATCTCTTATGATTTCAAGGCCAGCCTGGTGTGCTTAGTGAGTTCCAAGTCAACCAGGGCTGTACAGTGAGACAGTGTCTGAAAAGAAAAAAATTCAGTGGATTTTCCAGATTTTGTTACTATTGTAGCTCAGCTGGAATTGGTTTCCTGGCAGCCTTGTCTTTGCTGAAGGTCAGGAGTTTGAGGGGAAACAGTCTTCCCTGCCCTTGGTCAAGGCACAGAGAGTAGAATGAGGAGGCAGAGATGAGAGCTGACTAGTGCTCAAAGACAAGTCTAAGCTGTGCTGTGCATGATGAAGGAAAGGCCACTTCCCTGAGGGAATGAGTCCTCTGTTACTTGTCTCGTCAGAATGGCTGAGGGTTGGGCCAGCCTGCAGGTTTGTGTCTCATGGGATGACCGCTCCCCAAGGAATCAGCTCCTTCCCTCATGCTTCTCACTGGGCAGCATTGGTGACCCAGGGCTGTGATGGCCCTGCTTGACAAGGACCAACTTGTGAGAGGCAGAGGAACCATTTCTAGGCAAAGTTCTAGGTGAAGAACTTTTTATCCAAAGCTCCCTTGACTGCTGCTCAGCTATACGCAGAATGGAATTTTACATATGTTGGATAGAAATAAAAGAATCAAGCCACGGCCAGAAAGGTTCCAGAACTGCAAGGACCTGTTTGATCTGATCCTCACTTGTGAAGAGAGAGTCTATGACCAGGTGATAGAAGGTGAGTGCACAGAGCCCATACCCATCGGCAGACTGCCTCCCTACACACAGGTTCTGCCCTGACAGGTTTGCAGGTTCTCTTGGGCAAGGGAAGGCAGGCAAGGCCAGGGGCCCTGGTTTGGGAGACAGAGGGCATGGTCCTTGTTCCCCTCTGACCTATGCCATCGGATGGCAAAGGACCTTGGGAGTAGGCGGGGCAAATGCTTGAGGCCTTTTTGCTGATGTCCACCAACAGAATTGCCTGCGTAACTGAGGGCCTTATGGCCTGCAAGCTCTGCTCTCACATGAGTTGAGCCTTGCATTTTATGAAAAGTGCTATTGATGCCAAGGGATGCCTCAACCCAGGGCTGGCTGGGCCATGGAGTGTGGCCTTGAGTGTCCTCTTCACTCAGTCTACGTGGTGAGCCTGATCTTATGTTAGTTCCTTGGGCTTGGCTGGATGCTTAGTCCTCAAGTTGTAGTCCCCAAACCCCAGAGCTCAGAGACAGGTGTGGCAGATCTTGGACACGTTTGCTGTCTGATCCCAGAACCTGTGACATTCAGATAACTTTGTTCCAATCAGATCTGAACTCCAGAGAGCAGGAGACCTGCCAGCCAGTGCATGTGGTCAATGTGGATATCCAGGACAACCATGAAGAGGCCACCCTGGGGGCATTCCTCATCTGTGAGCTCTGCCAGTGTGTGAGTCCAAACACCTGAGCCCAGGCAGTCATACCAGAGGGAAGTGGCTGAGACTGATTCCATTTGAGGCAGAAGGAGGGGGCTTCCCATCACCAGAAGTTCACAATTATAGCCTGGTCAGATATTAAAATTTAAGTAAAGACCCAAGATCTGTACATACTGGAGAGCTGACCACATCATTTTGGCTTAAGAATCTGCCCCAGTGCTTCTGTTCATCTGACAGAAGTGTGTGAGGTTGGCCCTGTGTCCACCCACCTCTCCCAGTCCACAGAACCCTCTTTGAAGGGACTGGCACCTCAGCTTTTTCCTCTGTGGACACAGCAGAGCAGATGGCACCCCTACTTGGTAGGGTCAGAGATGGGGATCCCCAAAAGTAGCATCTATAGTACAGGGGTCTTTGTTTCTTCATCTGGTAAGGGTTCAGATATCTGTCCTTCCCTGAGGGCCCTCTGGCATTCTTCCAGCATCCTAGGGGCTTGTATGGGTGCCGCGTGGGTGTGCCACACTGCTCAGATGCTATGAAAGGACCTTGTGGGAAGAGCTGTGTGTCTTATTCTGTCTTTTGCCCTTGGGAACTTTGTTTAGGTTGTGAGTGACAGAACTGATGGTCTTTTGGCTTACCAAGAGACGGCAGTGCCCTGGGCTGATGGAGAAACTGGTATCAGGACCAGGCTCCTGTTTAACTTGGTATAGCTTCTGTCCTCAGTGTGTTTGATGCCCCAGTGCAGGTGCTGAAGCTCCAGCAGTTGAGCTTATGATTTGGCCACTGTGCAGGAGAAAGGGCTGAAGAAGACACTGAGCAGCTGTGCCTCTCACTTCTGCTTGGATCATGTCACCCAGCCCTGAGTCATAGGGGCAGTCTTCGTTCAGAGACATGCCACCAAAGCTGAGACCAGGAGTCCTTGTAACCAGGGCAGTGTGGTCAGCAGCATCCCTTCCTCACTTCAAGGGACAAGTTCTCTAGGGGACTGCTGGCAGGGCCTAGGAGAAAGGTTGTTGGTGTCTGGTGGGTGGAGGCTAGATGTGCCCTTAACACAGTGCTTTAGGATGCCCCACCACAAAAGCATGGTCAGTCTCCTCTCTGGACAGTTCTGGGACAGTGCCTGTACTTTTCCTGTGCCCCAGTTCACTCTGCAGGGTAGGGATAGCACTGGTTGATGAAGGTGCCATGTACCTGGGATACCTGAGAGCTGCATCTGAGTTCCAGCCTTGGGGTCCAGGGCACAGCCCTCCCTCTGAATCCAGATCTGCTGCTCCCAGTGTGGAGTGGGACAGTGGTTATTACGGAGGTCTAATGCCCACCCCCATCCATAGCAGGGACCGCCAGGGAGGGGGCCCTGGGAAACCCTGAGGAACCTCACCTGAGGGCCTGGCCCCCCTGCAGGAGGGAAGGCACAGCTCTGGGCAGGGGCAGGGAAGGCATCACAGTGCTTGAATGGACTCTGCTCCCTCCAGATCCAGCACACTGAAGACATGGAGAATGAGATTGATGAGCTACTGCAAGAGTTTGAGGAGAAAAGTGGCCGGGCCTTCCTGCACACTGTCTGCTTCTACTGAGCTTCCTGTGGTCAACTCATGGCCTGCCCTGCACAACCACCTTTGGAGCCACTATGTTCGTGCATTTACCCTCCTGACACTTGTTTATACCGCTAGATGATATCACGTGGCTGGTGATACCTGATGTACTGTTCACATGGAATGGGAAGTACACAAATGCCTTTTTCAGCCCCACTTTTCTTTAACCAAAAGAAATAAAGACGGTTTACTGCACAGCCTCCAGCAAGTTTCTGTTGTTGGCCTGTCTGGCCCTTTTCTCTCCACCTGCTGGACTGTACAGAGACCTAAATGAACAGTGGGGCTGTCTTAGGAAAGAAGCTGGAATTGCCTGATAAACAGGTGCTGCTGCTGGGCTGATTTGTCCTGAATTCCTTGTCTACAGAGGAAGAGGCAACCCAGACCCTTGAGTCCAGGCCTGTGACACCTGAGGCCACCCTCCTGAGAGGCAGGGGCTGGCAGTAGGGCCAGTACCCTGGTGCCCTGTAGCCCAAGCCCTCATGATCTGCCACAGCCAATCCTCTCCATTTGACACTGCTGGGCACAGGGAGGATGGTGCCCTCTCTGTGGAGCCTGTACGTAGGGCTGAGGTCAGCTGGATATCAAGACTGTCCCCTTACAATACTTATCACATGGCAGGTCATGGTTGGCTCCTGCGTTGTCAGATCTGTGGACTGGGCAAGGGCTTGGGACCAAGTGTCAGAAGCAGCCACTGCAGGGCCATAGACACAGCCTCTGACTTCAGGCTCAAGTCCCAGCACCCCTCTCTTTCCAGAAGCCTAGCCTTTGCTATCACTGCCACTGGGATCTATGGCATCCCTGATCTGTCCCCTCCTTGCCTCCTACCCTCTCATCCTCCTATCTCTGTTCATGTTGTCATGGCTTTGGAGTGACCTCCCTGGCTCCTCTGACCTTGCAGGCCCCTCCTCTGGTGGAACGCGCTTGCAGGAGAAGGCTGATCGCCAGTGACGACCCACCTGCCCTCCCTTGGAATCCGGGGACCTGGGGCCCAGGAGGAGGGGCCTTGCGCAGGAAAGTGCAGAGAGGACCACCCGGTCCAGGCCGGGGCGGAGTCCAGCGGTGCTGGGCAGGCGACCAGAGTTGAGACTGATGAGATGGGGCGGGATGTGGAGCCGAGGCCGGAGGGGAGGGGTCCCGGCCGGCGTCACGCAGCTGGGAGTGGAAAGTCCGGACCCTGGATGCTGGCGCGGGGCGGCGAAGTCCCTCCCGGGAGGCGGAGGCAGAAGGAGGAGGGAGGAGATAGTGAGGAAGAAAAAGAGGGAGGGCGAAGACTGGAGGAGGAGAGAGGAGAGAGGAGGGAGGGGGCCGCCGCACCGACCGCAGGGAGCCGGGTCCCGGCCGGCGTCACGCAGCTGGGAGTGGAAAGTCCGGACCCTGGATGCTGGCGCGGGGCGGCGAAGTCCCTCCCGGGAGGCGGAGGCAGAAGGAGGAGGGAGGAGATAGTGAGGAAGAAAAAGAGGGAGGGCGAAGACTGGAGGAGGAGAGAGGAGAGAGGAGGGAGGGGGCCGCCGCACCGACCGCAGGGAGCCGGGCGCAGGGAGGACCGGAGGGTGGAGCGCACCTCGGCCGGCAGCGGGCGGCG